TGTAAATTTGAATTGAAACAACACTTTTACAAAGAAATTGGAGAAGAAATTGAAGAAATAACATATAGGGTTACCAATTATTGAAGAAGAAGAAGTAATTGAAGAATTGGAGCTTGAAGGAACCGATAAACCTCTGGCCGGAGCTTTTGCCGCCGGACGCCGGACTAACTCGCCGGTCATCACCACCGCCGCGGCCTAAGCCGCGGCTCTCAATCTTTGTTGTTCCTCGTGTTTTCCCCCTCTGTTTCCCCCTTGTGAAGCTTCAATTTATAGAATGGAGAGCCAAATTCTTCCGTTGGAGCATTGATTTTGGCGAACGTTGGAGAAGAGCCGTTGGAGGCTTGGTCGTCGCCGTTACTCTTCGAAGAAGAAGGAGATGGAGCGCATTTTTTTCCTTTCTTCGTTGACTTAGAATGAGGGAGCAGAGATGGGTTGTATTTGTTGATGGCTTTGGGCTTTGGGCCAAATTCAATCTCTTCTTTTCAAACTTGAACTCCGTTTTGGCCTTTTGCTATATTTTTCTCCAAACAATAAGATATCTGATAATTTTTTGGTTAGGAAAAATAAAATAAAAATAATAGAATGTAAAAAATGATTAAAAAACTACTATTTATGAAAGAAAAATAAAAGATTGTAAAAATGAGAATTAAAATAAAACTAAACTAAGGAACTAAAAATTAATTACTAAAAATATAAAAAATGCATAAAAAAGAATAAAAAGAACTAACCCAAAAACGACTTATCAATGATGAAGGCCCTCTCTTGGGTGATGTCATCAGCATGTCCTCCACTTCCACATTCGAGGCATGCGATAACCAGTTCAAGGACTAGCTTGTAGTCGTTGTTCAGATGAGCTTTCTTCGCTGGGTCAGAGGGATTTTGCCCAGAAATTCCAATAATGCTCCAATCCAGATTTTTGGCTGGAAGTCTCCCAATTTCAACTCCAGAATTGGGAAGGTGAAGCTTTTCTCCCAATTTCTTCAGCGAAAGCTTCACTTTTGTCCCTCCAACAGTGGAATTGATGACTTGAATCGTCCTTTGTGGGTCCTTCTTCGATTTGACAGTCTTGACCTTTCCATTTTTATAGAATTCAAGAACTTCGTTCTCATACTTGAATCGAATCTCCATATGAAGAAATTTGGAGAGCTCTTGAGCAGCAATCATCTCCAGATAGGATTGATAGAACGTTGATGAGGAGCACTTGGCTTCCAACTTCTGGAAATGGATATTAGCGCCAACAATCTTCATTTTCTCGGAAATTTGAGAAGATCTGAAGAAATTAGGGTTCTTGAGAATTTTATCAGAAGATTCTCGTGAAGAAGATGATGAAAGATTTGAGTGGGCTGAGTGGGCAGTTGAGGTCTGATTATAGTGACGATTGGGTTTAATGTGGGCGATTTATGCGGCTAGTGGCGATTGGGTTTTTAACTGTTCCCAAGGCCACGTCCCCACCCATCATTTTGACAGACGTGGAAAATGAACTGCCAAGTGTACCACACTCAGTCTAATTGAATTAGACCAATTTTGTGAAGCAAATCGGAAAACTTGGCTTCACTTAGTGGTTTGGTGAAGATATCCGCCAGTTGCTCTTCAGTTGAGATATACTCAATTTTGATATCTTTCTTTTCCACATGATCTCTAATGAAGTGATGCTTGATATCAATGTGCTTAGTGCGAGAATGATGCACTGGATTTTGTGAGATGGCTATAGCACTTTGATTGTCACAAAAGATTGTCACTTCCTTTGTATTTACTCCATAGTCCAGTAGTTGTTGCTTCAGCCACAGAATTTGAGCACAATAACTACCAGCAGCAATGTACTCTGCTTCTGCTGTAGATGTAGAAATGGAGTTTTGTTTCTTACTGAACCAAGAAACAAGATTTCCACCAATGAATTGACAAGTACCAGATGTACTTTTCCGGTCAACTTTGCATCCAGAAAAGTCAGAATCTGAGTATCCCACTAACTCAAACGAATTGCTCTTATCATACCACAAACCCATGTTCTGAGTTCCTTTGAGGTATCTAAGAATTCTTTGAGCTGCTATCAGATGACTTTCCTTTGGCTTTGACTGGAATCTGGCACAAACACCTACTGCATATGAGATATCCGGACGGCTTGCAGTAAGGTAGAGTAGAGATCCAACAATTCCTCTGTAGAGAGTTTGATCTACATCCTTTCCATCTACATCCATATCAAGCTTGGTGGATGTACTTATGGGGACAAAGGCGGATGACTTCTGGTCAACTTTGAATTTCTTGATAAGATCCCTTGTGTACTTGGCTTGGTTGATGAGAGTCCCTTCACTTCTCTGTTTGATTTGAAGGCCAAGGAAGTAGTTGAGTTCCCCCATCATGCTCATCTCAAATTTTTCTTGCATGAGGGTTGAGAACTTGGTGCAGAGATCTTCTTTAGTTGAGCCAAATATGATGTCGTCCACATAGATTTGGACTAACAGGAGATCTTCTCCGTCTTGTAGTTTGAACAATGTCTTGTCAATGACTCCTTTGATAAATCCATTGTTTATGAGAAATTGAGACAATGTGTCATACCAAGATCTCGGAGCTTGTTTGAGTCCATACAAGGCCTTTTTGAGTCTATACACTTGATCTCCCTTAGTGTGTAACTCAAATCCTGGAGGTTGTTCCACATAAACTTCTTCTTCGAGGTTTCCGTTGAGAAATGCACTTTTGACATCCATTTGATAGACTTTCAAATCCTTATGAGTAGCAAAGGCTAGAAACAGCCTTATAGCTTCAAGTCTAGCAACTGGAGCGAAGGTTTCATCAAAATCTATACCTTCTTCTTGACAATATCCTTTGGCAACCAACCGGGCTTTGTTTCTGATAACAACGCCGTTTTCATCCATCTTGTTCCGGAAGACCCACTTTGTCCCAATGACATGTTGATGAGTAGGTCTCGGAACAAGTTTCCAGACGTTATTTCTGGAAAATTGGTTGAGCTCTTCTTGCATTGCATTGATCCAATCAGAATCAGCTAGAGCTTCTTCAATATTCTTTGGTTCCACTTGTGAGATGAAACAAGCAAGCATAGTTTCTAGATTTTGCTGAGCACTTCTTGTGCGAACGCCAGATTGAATATTTCCAATGACTTGTTGGGGAGGATGATCCCTTAACCAACGAAGATTGTGTTGATTAGGATTGACTGGTTGATCTAGTTCAGCTTCTGGTTGAAGAACAAAAGTTGGTGTTTTCGGATGGATTGGCACTAGGTCGCCATTTCCGGAATTGTCGCCGTTTGAGTGATCCGGAATATTGGAAGGCTGGCCAAGATTTCCGGTAGGCTCAACACTGTTTGAGTCCGGATTTCTCTGTGAAGTCTTCAGTGGTAGACTTCTGAATGGAATGAACTCCGTAGGCTTCATTCTATCTCCTTCATTGACTTCGTCATCCTTGTCAGATAGATCCAGAACCTCATGATCATGCGTTGATGGCTTGTCAACCACATGTTTTTCATCAAAAATAACATGTATTGACTCTTCTGTGATCATGGTTCTTTTGTTGAAAACTCTGAATGCCTTGCTCACCATAGAGTATCCAAGGAAGATGACTTCATCTGATTTCTCATCAAAAGTGTTCAGATGATTCTTCCCGTTATTTAACACAAAGCACTTGCTTCCAAAAATATGGAAATATGATATATTAGGCTTTCTCCCGTTCCATAGTTCATAGGGAGTTTTGTTGTGCCTTTTATAAATCATACTCCTATTTTGAGTATAGCAAGCTGTGTTAACAGCTTCAGCCCAGAACCTCTTTGGTAAGGAAGCTTCTGCTAGCATTGTTCTCACTGCTTCCTTTAGGGTTCTGTTCCTTCTTTCCGCTACACCATTCTGTTGAGGCGTCCTTGCTGCGGATGTCTGATGAAGAATTCCGTTTTCTTCACAATAATGAATGATGATTTCATTAAGGAATTCTGTGCCTTTGTCAGATCTGATCTTCTGAATGGTCTGACTTGCTTGGTTTTGAATCAACTTCATGCAGTTGGTGAGTTTCCCTTGAGTCTCCTTCTTGCTGTTGAGGAAGATTGTCCACGTGTATCTTGAGTAATCATCAACTACCACCAGGACATATTTCTTTCCACTTAGACTTATTGGTGTAACAGGGCCAAATAGGTCCATGTGGATAAGACTTAATATCCTTGTAGTTGAGGGTGCAGGTTTTGCCTTGAAAGTAGATTTGATTTGCTTTCCTTTCTGGCACGCATCACAAATGCTTTCCTTCCTGAATACAGCTTTGGGAAGGCCTTCTACTAACCCTTCTTTGGATAGCTTGTTGAGAGTTTTGAAGTTGAGATGACTCAACCTCTTATGCCAAAGCCATAGAAGGTTAGTGTCACCTTTGCTGATTAGACATGCTTCCTTGACAT